GCACAAAATCTTGCTTCCTCGTCTTGACCTGTTAAAAGGGCGCTAGCTGTAAAGCCAGATACCTATATATAACAAGCTATATCAGAGAAAATACTGTACATGGAACATTGAAGACCTGGCTTAATTACCTTTAGTATGAGGCGATTTCGTGATCTAACCGGATCACCCTACCCAATGACATTAATGGCCACTAATGATAGATATACGGGTTTCGGAAAGACACTTAACTTGAATTTGTTGACAGCGTGTGATAATAGTACACCTTTGGTTTCCATAACACTTCGTCCAAGTAAAATTAATAGGAGCCGAATTTGCTCCCTGCGCCTCTGGTCTCAATAATGTCTAACACTCCATACTATTGACACTACTGGCCGACATTGTCCAGATATGATAGGAGCCAAATTTGCTCCACACGTCTCGGAGGTGACACAACAATGCCTGTCTAACACTCCATACTATTGACGCTACTGGCCGACATTGTCCAGATATGATAGGAGCCAAATTTGCTCCACACGTCTCGGAGGTGACACAACAATGGCTGCCCTCCTTCCCCACTGATGCCTGGCTTACATTGTCCACATGACAGAAAGTGATAGAAGGGTCACATTTACTCTACTTTAATATTGATAATTAAGTTAATTTATACGAGATGGTTTATGATGGTAAAGTCCAAAGACTAATGTATTTAAGAATAATTCCCACCATAATAGGTGGTGATTTATAATAGTATGTGGTGATGATATCCCGTTTTCTATAGACGGTAATTCCACTACAAGTTACGTTTTCTATGGGTAACTTGTTGGTAATACAGCAGCAATTATTATCTGTCTGTATGATATATTAAATGGTGTCGGATTCTCCGACATCCTCCCACCACGCCCGATCATGCATGCGCAGAGGCGCTCATAGCGATCCCGGACGTAAACCATTTTGGTTTACTATTAATTCATTTGGGGAACAAAAGAAGTACAATTTGAACTATCATCACCAATAAATATATTGGATAATAATACCTGTTCTCGTAAGGCAAATGATCCAATTAACCTTGCACAAATTGAACGAGAAGGGTTGACTTGTTTTTATTTTACGCCACAGTAATATTTTACAGGAATAATGAATTTGGTCAAATACCCGAGCTCAGTACCCATAAGCATGTGAAATGGTTATTTCTTTCATAAAGAACAATAATTTTAGAAAGAAAGAGTAATTAACTGAACTCTACATTTCTCCAACATGTTTAGGAGATTTCATGTTTAAGCTTGCAATCGACGCTTGGCGTCATGATGGCTGGGAATTTTCTGGCTAAACTATGCCTTACTATGGAAGCGCTAACGCTATTAATTCTACGTGTTAGTGTAAATATTAAATATTAATATTGGGAGTTAAGGGAGAATAATCTGTTGGTTATTTCCAACATCCCTGCATCATGCTGTTTACGAAGGCAGCTATGTCTTCCCCCAATTGGGAGCCATAGATCTGGTCTGGATGACCATAGGTCTGGTCTAGATGAACATAGATCTGGTCTGGATGACCATAGGTCTAGTCGGGATGAATATAGGTCTGGTCTGAGTTTTTCATGAAGGCCGTAGTGTTGTTTGTCATCTGCGAGTCACAGTGTCCGTCTGTGTCGTGATTGTCAGTTGTCGCAAACCTAACATGGGCAGTAGTCGGGTTGCAGGAGCACGTGTAGGGCTCGGTCAGCGCTGGTTAGGCGTTGCAGCACGCAGTTGGTTATGGGAAGGAGGAGCAGGGCTATAGCGGTTAGCTCGGTTAGGAGGAGCAGGGCTATAGTGGTAAGCTTGGTTAGTACCGTAGTGAGCTCGACAGTCAGCAGAGGCATGGCCAGGCAGCTGGTGGTAGGTGCAGAATGGTGCACGAGCAGCTCGGCATTCTGATGTGTCATAGCCAGGTCTATGGTGAAATGTGCAATATGGACAGTTGTGATAGTCAGTATTTCCTGCAGTTTTATGTCTAGTATGCTGTTGGTAACGAGTGTTGGTTGAGGTGCATTCTGCCTCATGGTGGCCTGGTGTCGGAAAACCCGACACCATTTAAGCATACGTCAGTGAATTATTACTGAAGAGAGACAAGCAGAGAGCATGCATCTTGTGGCAACACAGTGAGATGTCGACATTATGGAGAACGTAAAGGTTGAGTTGTGAGATTTGTCAAGGATAGAAGTAAAGGTGACATTGTAACCCCTCTCCATGATTAGACGATTTCGAGGTGATCCTTCAATATGTACTCCATTGGAGGAAATAGAATCGAAGCTACCGTGAGACGAGGGTAATTGCGTATTCTCAGGCAATTCACTGGTTAACAGCTGTAAGTTACTCTCAGAAAGTAAGCGAGACTGAAGACCATAGAGCAATTTGCGCAAGCGACGCTTAAGTTATTAGAGATTATATCAGTAGTCCAAAAGCCACAAATTTTATATCGTGCCTATAGTAGTCTACAGTTTATTCTATTAAACAAATAACAAAGGATAATTAACTAGAGCTGAAGGCAGCTAGTACTGCAATTCATTCAACACGGTAGGGATGATCAGATCATCGCAGGTCTAACGTCGTGCTGCAGCGTCGTTGGTGTCGGGAGGTGGTAGGTGTCGTCAGGAGGCATCCGGCCAGGCGTCATGCAATATCAGTTTGGGCGAGAAGCAATGAGGCACAGTGAGTCAGTTGCAGGTGCATCCTGAATGAGAAAGGTACGGACTCGCCTTGAAAGCGAGTCACAGGCAAGGAGTAGGCTGGGCGCGAGACATGAAGCTGGGCACGCTAGAACACATAGTACAAGATACACACTCTGTATCGTCACTGATGTCAGTGTTGACACTCACGACAATGTTGGTGTCACTGATGTCACTAGTGAAGCCACACATGGCAACTGGTTCTTCTGCAAGTGGCTGTGCTGTAGCTGCTGTGAAGCAGTTGTACCAGATAGCTGGGCCGGAAGCTGGAGTACGTCAGCTGAATCTCACTAAGCTGCCACCAGTATTAAATGAGCTGTTGTTGTCGGTTATAGCATGATTGCGGTTGGAAGGAATGCAGTACAAAAAAGCTCTGACATTTTCTTCATTTCATTATCTAAATAAATAAAACTGTAAGTGTTCGTTTGTTCAAAATTGCTAATCACCGAAAGTTATTCACCGATTGCTTTGAAATTTTGTTACACAACGCTCCATTCGCATAGGAGTAAGTTTTTATATGCATACTATATAGATGTCAGTCTGTGAGAGGTAAAAATATGCTTTTTTGAAAACTGTGTTTTTCATGTAAGTTTTCATGTGAGGGAAATCTCCGAAATCTCTTTACCGATTGCTTTGATATTTTGACACAACGTTGCATTTGAATACACACATGTTTTTATATACCTACTATACAGATGCCACACCTGTGACAGGTAAAAACATGCTTTTTATGAAAAACAGGGCCATATAGCGTGTACACGTAAATACAGCACACGCTATACTAAATATGTTAGGATTCCATTTCAATGTTTCCAAAATCTATGATAAATTGAATTTTCATGGATTTCGATTTAATTTCATTATGATTTAATTATTTTGTGTGACATTGCACCGGAATTGAGCTGTGTTGTTTACCATACACCTGTGACAGGTAAAAACATTTTTTTTTAACAGCCCTATCTGTTGCACATAAGAGCAACACACGTAATACTAAATATGTTATGATTCCATTTCAAAGTTTCCAATATCACTGAAAAATCGAATTTTCAAAGATTTTTATTTATTTTCATTTTGGCCCAATTATTTTGTGTGACATTGCATTGGAATTGAGCTGTGTTGTTTACCATACCGTTCATTGTGTGAGTATAGTTTATATTTTGATTTTTTCATTGTTTTTCATTTCGTTTTTTAATCATTTTTCTTATATTTCAGTGATGGGATCATCAGATCATTTGATGTTCCCAATTTTCTGATGGGAACATCAGATCAATTGGGAATGCATCGAACAAGGGAGTGGGGAATGGTGGGGAGGACGAGAGGACAGGAGTGGGGGATGGTGGAGAGAACGAGATGACAGGGGAGGGGGGTAATGGTGGTTAGGACAAGGGAACAGAAGAGTTGGGGGATGACGGGGCAGGGGAATGGAGAATGGTGGGGAGGACAAGGGGACGGGGGAGTTGGGGATGGTGGGGATGAGGGGACAGGGGAGGGGGTAATAGTGGGGAGAACGAAGGGACGGGGAGTTTGGGATGGTGGGGATGAGGGGACAGGAGAGTGGGGGATGGTGGGCAGGACGAGAGGACAGGGGAAGGGGAAATGGTGGGAAGGACAAGGGGATGGGAGAGAGGGAGATGGTGGGAAGGACGAGGGGTCAGGGGAGAGAGGAATAGTTGAGAGGACGAGGGGACGGGGGAGAGGGGAATGGTGGGGAGAACTGGGAGACAGGGAAAGGTTGCTTTGGCTCGACAACGTACATGCATTGCTGGGCAACAGCATGAGTTGCTGAGCCACAGCAATGCGTTGCCGGGTACAGCTATTAAAATATTAATATCTGCTGACCACGAGCTTTCTAACAAGAATGAATGTGTGCACAGCGCCGCTGCTCAAGATGGACTGGTCGTTGGGGTCTGTTGGACATGGACAAGATGCACATCTACGAGCATGCTTATGCTGCTGTTGACTAATGCTCGTGAGTTGAGTGCTGGCAATATACAGTCGATGAATGAAGCAACCACGTGCAACCACGTGCGTCCAACACCACTTGGCATGCTACCATTGGCGTCCTCGATGATCTGCTGGACGGACTTCTTCGTTGTGTTCCTAACTAACATTTATGGACAGTAGTTTACCTATAGTGGCCTTTATCTATAGTGGCCTTAAAAAAGCTTTCCTCAAACAAGCCTTTAAACGTCCAACATCCTCAAGCACTGTCTATTCAGCCACGAGGCCCCCAATGTTTGTATGTGTGTGTGTGTTGGAAAACTTGAGTTTATTTTTTATTAAGTTTGCATAATCTTTAGGTATACTTGACCAGGTACACTATGCATGAGCAGCGAGAGAAGGAGTGGGGTGTGCCGACGGCCGGGGTGTTCGACGGCATGATAGGAGAACTACAGCGGGAGGAGACTGACTTCTGCATGATCGCGGCGCCAACACCGGAGCGTCTCCAGGCGGCCGAATTCGCCCGGGGGTACCCCTCCACGCAGCTCGTCATTGTCTCCCTCAGTCCCTCACTAGTTCCCGAATACCTCTCATTCATCAGGCCATTTGCTGGTAAATCTTAAAGTTCAATGACTTACCTTAGAAGGATATACATATACTCAAAGGTGCATCCTTCATCTCTGTGTATATGCTCAGTGTTTATTGAGGTATATCTGCTGGTTGACCTTAATAATAGCCCTTACACTATTAATAGGCCTTAAGCACAGTGTACAAGTCGTGACTAAGAGCCAGAACTGCACTATTTGGCCTAGTATGCAAAGTCCAATTTGCCTAACAGGCCGAATATTATTCGTTATTTTCTTATATTTCATACCCGATTGGTTCGTTTTTAACAATAATAATGCATTATATTCAGAACATGAATATCTTACTTAGTTATGTTAGGTTATATTATACTATGCTATGTTCGATAGTATACCTAACCTTACCTAATAGGTTTGGTTAGGTTTGATAAAATTTCAATGTTAGTTTTGAATTAGAGTAAACTAAAAGTTAAATCATATGTATTGTAATGGAAAGCTGAATCATTATAAAGAGGGGGGATGAAGAGGGAGGGAAGAGGGGTGATGTGTGGAGAAATAGAAATTCAAGGGGTGGTATTGGGGGGTGAGGGAAAGAGAGACTGTCCCGGGCATCGCCGGGTACCCCTCCTAGTAAGCCCATATTATTATTTTTCCAGTAAGTTTTCATGTGATATGTGATAAATACTGGATAATATCACAAACAACAAGGTGAGCCTGGTACACGAGTCATTGATGATTGATAAATTTACAGAGGTTAAACCACCCAAGAGGTGGCACGGGCAAGAATAGCCCATAATTGGAGGCTGTTTGGAGACATTAAAGGTATCAGGAGTTCATACTGTAAATCTGTGGATGCGAGTCACTGAGGTGCAACACTACAATAATATCTGCTGGAATGTAGTGGCGGTGTCGCCTGTTGCAGGTATTTAGGCTCCTTTTGTCCTTGATTCTCTCTCAGCTGCTGCCCTTGATCCAGTGCACTCCCATGTTTGTCCTTCCTTTCCTTGACTCTCTTGACCGCCCCTTTCCGATGCCTCCTCCCGCTACAAACTGTTAGTCCGCCTTTGGTCCATCCGCCTGCTCCCGTAACTCCATCATCTTTGCTAGCTTTGCCAATGCTCTGTAACCCCGATTTCACTGATCCTGATCTCACTTTGTATACCGTGTTCTTCTTTGCCTTTGTTTCTCCTTTGTTATTAAATATTGGTTGTTTCTTATCTCCAAATTTAAGAAACAGATTTAAGACAGTCGAGTTTTGCTGTTCCCAGCCATATTGGTGTTTCCCTAAATGAGCGTGCAGATGCTGCCATTAAGGAAGCCATCCACACTTGTTCCATTTCACGCAAAGGTGTTCCTTATTTAGATTTCAACCCAGTTATTCATTCCTCAATCCGCACCCGTTGGCAGGGTCGTTGTGCTTGTGCTATGATAACTAATCGCCTGCTCTTAAGAGTAGCGTGTCCCCCATGGTTTTCCTCCTACCACCTAAACCGGCGGTGGGAAACAGCTCTGGCGAGATTACATTTTGGCCATACACGTTAACTCACGGCCACTTAATGGAGCGCCGCCCTACTCCTTATTGTCCAAACTGCATTGTCCCTCTTACGGTCGAGCATATCCATGTTGAATGTCCTGACTTCCAGGACGTGCATGTGTCTAGCTTCCCAACTGTCCCTCGCGCTCACTCACCCATTGATAGAATCTTTGGTTAATTGGATACCTTACATATCGTTTGTCTTATGCGCTTTTATTCTCAAATTGGCATCTTTAGTGATATTATGCGGTCTTTGATTATCCCGCACATTTGATGGTGCTACAAAAGTCTCCCTGGCTTAGAGCCTTTTTTTAATAATTACTTACTTACCATTCCTTGGTAAACAACCCTGAACAGTCGACTGCCTCCCAGATGCCTAGTTACTGCTAGATGAACAGAGGCATTCAAGTGTAAGTCTCACCATATGTATTTATATTCCACGGAATATAAATAGATTTTACTAAGAATAATATTGGATTATAAATACGTATTTAAATTATAGTTATGTAGTAAACAATACGTCAAGTTTACTAATATAGAACTTTTATTTGGGGTTCCAGGGAACGTATGGGAACAAGCCATTTTTTGGTGTATAATAGTAAATGAGGTCAATTATGAATGAATGGTAGTAAATGTTTCAAACACTTTAAGTGTTCCAAAGTAATCATAAATCATTTATATTTCGTCATAAGATGTTCAATCATGAATACCAGAATGTGTAATTAAGAAATAACGTACATTGGAGACCTAACTTGTGATTTTGCTTCCCTCTGTTAATAACTCCACTGCCTGTTGCACACTATTACCTATGTTGTGAATGTTCAAATTAATCTTTGTCATTATTATTTGTGTTGCAAATGGATGGATTGCTGGCCTGACCGCCAGGGGGTCTAGACGTGGTCGCCAAGCGCTCCCCAGTTGTTGCTAGGCGTTCCGTGTGGGAGGGTGTTGTTGTTGCGTCGGCGCCATGGGGACCCCCCCTCCCCCCTATTCGCCGCTCTGAGACCGTGGGTCTGGAATTTTCTGGACGTGCGTCTTACCTGGCCCTTGAGATTGTCCTGTTGGATATGCTGCGTGTGCGAGTTGCCGATGTGTACGGGCTCCAACTGCTGTCCACCCATCGGGCGCTTGTTAAGTTTCAACTCTGCTGCTGTTTATAGAGACTTCGTGGCCCGTTACGATGGGCGCTCTCTTCCTCTCCCTGGGGACGGTGGTACCGTCACTATATCTGACCGGTGCTGCTCGGTAACGTATGTGGCCCTGCATGGTGTGCCGTTTGAATTCACGGAGGCTTTGCTTCGACGGTATTTTGGCCAGTTTGGGACTGTCGTTTCCATCCAGATGAACTCCGTCTCTGCCGGCAGGTGGCGTGGTGTCTCGTGTGGGACCCGGACTCTCGGCCTGAGGCTCAAGTCTCCTGTTCCCTCCGCGGTGACCTTGATGGGCTACACCATGCGGGCGTTCTACGCAGGACAGCCTCGACAATGTTTTCGTTGTGGCATTGAGGGGCATCTGGCAGCTGATTGCACTGGGGTCGCGGCTGCACCTGTTAATTTGTTCCGGGACGAGGATTTTCCCCCGTTGGTGGCGCAGGACCTGTCGCCTCGTGATGGAGTGGGTGGGGAGGTTCCCCTGCCGCCTGCTGACCCGGTGGTGGCTGTTGGCCCGGAATGTGTGGATGGTGGTGTACACGACGAGGTGGTGGTGTGTGCGGCTCCGCCCCCGCAGTCGGTCTCGTCGCTTCCACCGGCTTCTGCACCTGTTTCCGACTCTGCACCTCCGACGTCTCTGCAGGCTCCCTCACCTGTGTTGGACCCTTCCCCTCCTGCGGCCGCGCCTGTTCCTTCTCCTGTCTCCTCTGTGGGTGGCGGTCTCGTCCCCCGTGTTGTTGAGGCTGACATTCTGCGGGGTCGTGCTCCCCCGGTTGTGGGGCGGCCTGCCGCCGGCTCCTCTCGGGTGCCTCCTGCTGGGGGTGACAGCTCCGATGATCAACGGCCTGTCCCCAAGCGTTCGCGTACGGATACGGGTGCTTCGCCTCCTCGTTCGTGGGCAGAGGAATGTGAGGATGCGGCGAGGGTTGATGTTTCTTCTGAGAGCTGTTCCTCTGTGGAGTGCGAGGATGGTGCGTCTGGTGTTGGTGTGGGCCCTGGTGTGACTCCTGGTGTGGCTCCTGCTGTGGGGGTGGGGGCCCGTGTGGGGCCGGTACCTCTTGCTTCGGGCGCGTCGCCCGCGTCGGATGGTTCCGGTTCCCCGTGGGGGGTGGTTCCCCCTTGCGGGGTTGAGAGTGGACGTGGCGACCTGGTGGTGGTGTTGAAGAAAACTGCTCGCTCTGAGGGTTCTGTGCCCCCTCCCCCGTCCCCTGTTTCGTCGGCGGCAATTATGCCGCCCCATCCGTCTCCGGCAATTTCTTCTGTGTCTCCTGCTTTGTCGGAGGTGGGGTTGCCGTCTCGGCAGCCTCCGCCTGCTGTTCCGGCGTCTCCTGCTTCCTCGGCAGCGGTGTTCCTGCCTGCCAAGTCTGGTTCTTCGTCTTTGGTGTCCCGAGATTGGGTGCGACCGCTCCGGTGGGATGTGGAGATCCCCGAGTATATGGAGTACCCGCGGTGTCGTGAGGGCCGTTCCCCTTCCGAACTGGAATATTTAATATGGGAGGCTTATAACCGGAAGTATCCGTCGCGGAAGTTTCCTGAGAAATATACTCCTTGTTGACTGTTGTGTGTTGTGGGGTTGCTTGCACCTGGGTGCGTGTGTGTGGGGTGGGACTGCATGTGTGTGTCTGGGTGCGGGGGGTTTGTTTTCTGGTTCCTGCGTATTCCGTTGTTTTTTTATTTCTTGCTTATGGTTGGTTTGCGTGTGTTTGTTGTGTATTTGTGGCATTCCCTTGTTATTTCTTGTGTTTTACTTACTATGTTGTATTTACAGTGTTTTATTTACCATGTTCTGTTACTGTGTTCTCAATTCTGTGGTGTGGTGTCTGCTGTTGTGTGGTGTGGCGCATGGTGCGTGTGTTTTGTGTTTGTCTTATTTTGTATATGTGTATTCCTTGTTTATACTTTACCCTTGGTTTTATTGTGCTCTTTGTGCATTTTTGTCATTACTGATGCCTGTGGCCCGCCCCATATGGGTAGTGCGGCTTTTGTTTGTGTTTGTGTGTGTGTTCTTATGTGTTTTCTGTTATTCTTTGTTTTCACTTTTGTGTTTCGTTGATCTGTGTTACTGCAAATAAAAGCATATCTGTGTTATTGTTATTCTGTGTTTTTTGTTATCATGTGCTTTCCTGTTTTATATGGCTACTGTACGCTGTTATTAATTTGTTTTAAAAAAAAATCAACTCAAGTTAAGTGTTCTTTCCGAAACCCATTATCTATCATTAGTGGCCATTAATGTCATTGGGTAGGGTTAGCCGGTTAGATCACGAAATCGCCTCAAACTAAAGGTAATTAAGCCAGGTCTTCATGTTCCATGTATAGTGTTTTCTCTGAAATACTTGTCATATA